CCTGCCCCACGCACCCACATGCCCCCACCTCTATGACCCCTGTAAGCCCTGTGTCAGCCGCACAGCCCTCCCAGAGGGGCCTGCCCCACGCACCCTTGTGCCCCCACCTCTGTGGCTTGCTGCACGTGGTGCTTGGCCGCTCATAGATGCGCCGAAGGGGGGCACTGGGGTTGGGCAGCTGCTGCGTCAGGGGTCGGCTATCCTGCACAGGATCCTGGGCAACCGTGCCTGTCCTGGTGACCCGTGTCAGGTCCACCACATAGGAGGAGATGTTGCTCTGGGAGAAGGCCACGCCTATCTGCAGGAAGCAGCAGAGCTGGGGCTAGACTCTGGCTGGGAGATGGGAGGACCCGAGGCGGAAGCGAGGCATGACCCCGGCACCCTGGATCCAGGCCCTCTCACCAGCTGGTCGTTGCAGATGGCCAAGTCAGCCACCTTGCCCCAGTTGACAAGGACCACGTCAAAGCAGCGCTCGGGCTCCCAGCCGTAGACGCGCAGCGAGTCCTGGCAGCCGCTGTACAGGCAGCAGCCATCAGGGTTGAAGAGGATGCTCCTGGCCAACAAAGAGGCAGTTGGGGTCCAGGCCCCCACATGGGCCCATCCCAAGAAACCCAGAAGGCCGAGGAGAGCCCAGGCCAAGAGGACATGAACAGTGGGTAAGGAAGGTCCACCCACACTACCTCCCGCTGTCTGTGTACCTGACAGGCCCTGGCTCCCCTTCAATGCAGCTCACCACCTGGAATTTCTCCAGATCCCAGAAGCGGATTGTCCTGTGAAAGTAGCCATGCTGTGCTAGGTGGCCAGTCTCTTGCTGGTTTCTGGCCTGGGGAGGCCAGTTCCTCTCTAGACACTTTACCCCCCAGGGGCACGGACACAATGACATAAGGCCAAGCCCCTGCTTCTGCCAGGGTGGCCACGCAGACCTGGCCTGGTGCCCACACCTCTTACTGCCAGTCAAGAGCGCTAGAGACTGGAGGTCATATGCGCAGTTCAGCAAGTGGACAAGTGACCCAGGCCCACAGCCCTGGGCTTTCCTGCATGGTGGGTCCCTGCCAGGGGCCTTGGGTCCTGATAGGCCCACAGAAACCCAGGACACAGGCTGAGATGCCAGGGGAGAGATGGACCCAAGACAGGAACAGCAGGTGGAAAACACCCTGGGACAGACACACACACACAGAGGGTAGACAACCAGACAGGTGCCTGTGTGCACATATGCACGTGCATACACACGCATAGAGGGCAGACAGACACACACAGGACAGACACACACACACAGAGCAGAGGAGGGGCAGTGGTCCCAGGCAGAGCACCTCCTCACCTGTCCGAGCTGCCAGATGCCAGCAGGTACTCATTCGGATGAAACTCTACCACGTTGACAGGCCCTGTGTGGCCAGGGAACTCAGACATCATCTTGCCGGCAGTCAGATCCCAGAGCTGAGGGCAGGGCGGGGTAGGGGTGAGGGTGAGGCTGGGCTCCCACACTGCCAGCTCTCCCTGCGCTCCAGCTGAATTCCCTGTTCACAAACCACCTTCTCCTCCACATGCAAATCCAATCAAGACAGGAGGCAGGACTCAGTGAAGTCAGCAAACCCAGCCCCCAGCCCCCAGGTCAAGGCCAGGCCAGAAGCTACCTTCACTATGTGGTCGTCTGCGGCTGATGCCAACCACTTCCCGTCAGGACTGAACCGGAGACACCGCACGGCTTGGCTGTGTCCCTGCAGAGGACAGAACCCGGGGCTCACTGAGGGACCGGTACTCTACGGACTTCTCTCCCCCAAATTCCAAGACATGCAGTGTCTCCTGGGAGCAGCAAGGCCACAGAGGTGCTGCTGAAGGTGGCACTTTTCCAAGTGTGGTCAGAGACTGTAGATCAAGACTACATGGTCGAGCACATCTGGGAGGTGCCCTCTCTTAGGGAGTTACATACACCCCCTCTCAGCATCAAAAGCTGACAACTGCATGTACTTAGTGTTAAATCCAGTGATTCCAAACTCACATAAATAGGAAGCCTTTCCCCTCAGGACCTGTAACGTGCCTGCCAGAGAACGGTGTGCACTCTGGTGAACGGAGCTCTGACGGGACTCAGACAAGGTTAAGGTCAGCCACCCACAGTGCTTCTCTGGTTCATTTCTCACTTCTCTTTGGATAGCAGCCCCCACCTCAGCCCCACCCTGTAAGCCAATGGCTTATGGAATGACCAATAGGGGGTTGTCCTCACCCTGTACCGGAAGACACAGCCCTTCCTCCTGATGTCCCAGAGCTGTGGAGGAGAGACAGGGCAGAGTCAGGGGAGGCCATGGCCAAGGCCAGGGGTCACGTGCAGTGTGGGAGCCTGGCCTGGCATGCAGTGCCTGGCTGGGGGCAGAAGGGCTCTGCACACCCCAGCGATAACACCTGAAGATTCCAGGGGTCCCAAGCTGCTCCCTAGGGCTGGATTTTCTGAGCGAAGTGCCTGGCAAACCCTGCATGTCTCGCTTCTCTTGAATACTGAGAGGGAAGAGCTCAAGACAGAGCCCAAACCCGGCTCCTCGGGTGAGCCACGCAGCCTGGCCCGGCTTCCGCCCAGAGGATGGGCAGCACGTAGGAGGACATGCAGCCTGACCCTGTTTGAGCCCAGAGGATGGGCAGCACGCATGGGGGATGGGCAGCACGCATGGGGGATGGGCAGCACGCATGGGG